ACGTGCTCCAGGATTCCAAATATTGTTTTTTCTTCCAGGCCCAGGTTTAAAAACACCCCCGGCCCGGTGGGGGTGGCACCGAGCACTGGCCCGTCGCGGGTTGAATTTGTTTCATTTGACAGAATGTCTACTAAAAAGTGTCCCAGAAATCTTGAAGCCATTTTCGTCACGCGTTACTGGCATGCTCGCGCATACGAATGAATAAAACTTGTTCATCTAAAAAACTACAAAAATATAAATTTATGATGCGTGCGGTTTGCGCCACATTGATATTTATCTTATGCCCAAAAGCCGTCCTGACGACGGGCTATCTGGCGAATGCACCTAATTGGACCAAATCTGCACTAAGTCTCATTTACAACAAATTTCTTCATATCATGAAATTCTTTTAGCATTTTAATGTTCGAAATGGATTTCGTGTGAAAGCAGCGTCATGGTATCTGGCAGCGCCACACTCCTTCCTTTGGGGGTGCGTAAAGGAAAAGTGTTCGCAACTAACCCATCAGACTGACCAGCTGACTGCGAGCTAAAGGACAAAATCTCAGATGACAGCGGGAGAATCAACGCACTAGTAACGCTGGAGAAGGTGATTGGGAGCGTGCTCTCTGGCGGTCTACATAGTTACGTGGCTCTAGCTGGAACCAAGATTACTTTACTACTCGCTGGAACCACCTGACTGACGTGGTGTTCCAATAGAAAAAAAATATAATGCTTCCGTTTATTCTTTTGCCTTTCAGGTACCGTTTACTTTTTTCTCAGTTGGTTTCATAGTTCGGTCACACGGGTATACCAGAATCCAAACTTTTAGTACACCTTGTAGGTATTGGCGCGGGAAAGGGAATATATTGGCTACGTTTCCATGGCACAATCTAAGCCGATTTTGAAAAATGGATTTGCTCCATCATAGCATTTAGGCGTAATTTAAAAATGTAAATATAGGATTAGGTGCTAGCTAAAACCATATATACGCTCATTTTTTGCATAAGGTAAATAGTTTCCGAGAAAAACGCACGTGAAATTTCGCTAAATCGATTTAGACGTGTCATGGAATCGTAGTGATTGTTGAGAAATGAATATAATTGTGGTTTATGGAGATATTGTCATAAAATGCATGTTTTGAGAGACATGCGTGAAGGAAGGAAACGGGAGTCGCCGTCTCAGCCCCCTCCCCTTCCCCTGCTGAACGCGGCTTTGATCACACTTCGTATTGAAGACATAACTGTCAAAAGGGCACGAGAAACCAATGAACGCGTTTGCAATCTTATCGAAATAAAACTGAATAGCTATAAAAAACCAGGGTATATAAAAAAACAGCAAGGTCCTAGGCAGGGGATATTGAATTAGGTCTTAGAAAGAAAGCTGTAAAACTATCAAAGTTGTAAAACTATCACATACCACAAAACCGTCAAATAGTGCGTCGGAACTCGGAACATGCTTATCATCGGAACATGTTTGTCAAGAAATCATGCGGCTCTCACAGTGACCAGAGCAGATCGGAGAACGGTCTGCAAATTTCCGGCATCCCTGCTTCCATCACCACCAGGCACAGCACCTACCACCGTGTGAGAGACAAGCCCGCGAGCAGATTCCGACCCGAGCTGACCGGATCATGCCTCAGAGACGCTCTGTTGGGCGACTCTGGCGCGCCGTCGTCTGCCCAGGTGACGTGGCGCACGTCCACTCTCAGCCTGAGGCCGAGTGAGTGTGAGAACGCGCAGAACTCCAGCCGAACAGCCGGCGAGCGCTGCTCACTGCAGACGAGTCTCACCGACTGTGAGAAGTCGGACCTTCTCACCGCCTGTCGCACCGGTCGGAAGACGCCTGTCAAGTCTGAGCCCGCTCTGCTGCTGACGAGTCTGAGCCAGTCTCTGACCATCCAGCCCGCTCCGACACAGACTGGAGTCAATCAGTCTAGCGCTATTCAGCCGGTCTCAACTTCTATTGGAAGACAATGCATACCCAACCAATCTTCCGCGGCCGGTTGGATGAATGGAAACTCTCGATCCCTAACGGCCTTAGAAACTGAAACAGGGTCTCGCCGAGCTCCCACCGAAGTGCGGTCGGCAGTAGACTTCCAGACACCGTCTCCAGAAGCAGCCCGATGCCACAGCGAGGTCCAGGCCAGCACCTCCGAGCGGTACCGGCCGGCGGCCCGCGCACAGCGCTCGCTGCCGGAGGCGCGGTGGCTCCAGCCGGAGGTGCGCCGCACACCCAGCAGCCAGCGCTGTCTGGCGCGCTACTGCTGGGCTGTGTGGCTCTCGGGCGCGGCCCGTCCGCGGGACCTCAGCCGAAGGCCGGTGATGGACGGCGCGGCCACCACGGGGCCGATCGCGCGCCAGTTCCGTGCCATGGTCCGTCGTGCGACCCCGTACTTGTAAACGAACCGGCGTTCTGTAATTAAGATGCAATGAAATAGCGCGGCGCGGCTTAGCTGCCATTGCTGATGCCGCAATTTGTAGACGTTTGGTGACGCCAATGCATAATGCGAATCAATACATTTCCGGAAACTACTGCGCTCTTTGATGCTAGTGACACGTCATATGTGGGCATTGTGCATCGTCGGCGGAATGTGGCACTCGAGACACGAACAATGGGAAAGTGAACAATGACATGCCTCTTTGTTGGCCGGACCAGCCGCCGGACTATAAACAGTATCGTAGCTTTCTTAGGGCGTAGAGCTTATGCTTTGCTTATTCACATTGAGACTTCCCAAGACGAGATGTTAGAACCATAGTTAGAACGTCGTTGGTCCTCATTCCCAATCAGAAGTCTATAATCTTACAAAAATTAATTCAGAGACCTACAGCATTAGAGTCGCAATGCATGGTACCAGCTGTCAACGCAGATGCGAGGCCACAAAGCCATATCAAAAAGGCTCATAGCTGGTGCCACAAGCGCTGTCTCAGAACTACTCAATGGGCACAGGCAAATATTACATACCTAGCTACTGCACCTAAAGTAGATGTGTTCCACAAATAGCCTCATGTTTATATGCTTCGCCGGTCTGCCCATCATCTGTTCACATAATCATTATGATGCACGACGGTTGGCACTCCTTCAAACATAAGTTATACTGCAGTCGCTACTATCTACATTGTGCGCCTGAAGTTATGCTGCACCGCACGTCTTCCCATTCATGTTACAGCACCGCCGCCAGATGTCAGGACCGTTTGCGCCTGAAGTTATGCTGTACCCTAAAATCATGCTGTACCGCACAGCTTCCCAATAATGTTATAGTACTGCCGCTAGATGTCACTAGCATACTCGCCTGAAGTTATGCTGCACCGCATCGCTCCAATGCTATGTTGAACCACTGCCACTAGGTGTCACTACCATTTGCGCCTGACATGTTGCACCGCATAACACGTGAAGTGGAAAGCGGAGTGTAGATAGCTGTCGCGGTAATGTTGATCAAGTCGCGGTAATGTCCCTGCACTCTGTGTTTGAAGTCAGGCTTTATCTGCATTTAATGCTATTAACTGCATACCTAAATAACTGTTAACATGACACATAAAGTGCCGGTAACGTGTCAGAAAGTAAATTTGGCGCTTTGAAATTGCAATATCCGCCTGAAATTTTGACGTTTTTACCTTGTTCATTCTGCAAAAAAAAACTGACCTATAAGACCTGACCTCTTTTCATAGCAGCAGCAAAAGTAGTTCCACCTCCCGTGTTTCGCTCCTATAAACGTGGGCCACCGTGGCAGCCGGCAGGCACTGTGCCCGATCACCTGACCTGCAGGTACTATTAGCAGTGTGTTGTGGAAGTAGTCCGAGGACGAAACATACACCGTGAAAGGAACGTATATTCACAAATAATATTATGTCTATGGAAGGCAGAAGCGGTACAACCCGGGAATAAAGCAAAACAGTCGGGGCACGGAGTAACCCATCAAAAATAGGCGAGAAAAATTTATATCACAAGCTTACATACTGATCATACCATAAGTCACATCCACAAGCGTATGACCGTCTTGTCTGTGTTGTCTGTTTCCTCTCCCTCCCTTCCTCTCTCTCTCTCTCTCTCTCTCTCTCTCTCTCTCTCTCTCTCTCTCTCTCTCTCTCTCTCTCTCTCTCTCTCTCTCTCTCTCTCTCTCTCTCTCTCTCTCTCTCTCTCTCTCCCTCTCTCGTTCTCTCTCTCTCTCCCTCTATCTGTCTCTCTGTCTCTCTCTCTCTCTCTCTCTCTCTCTCTCGTTCTCTCTCGCTCTCCCTCTTTCTGTCTCTCTGTCTTTCTCTCTCTTTCTCTCTCTCTCTCTCTCTCTCTCTCTCTCTTTCTCTCTCTCTCTACGCCCCCACTTTTTCAGACCTTTTTTCATCAACCTTCTTTCAAACCTCCTTTCAGGCCTCTTTTGTGCAAGTGCACAGGGCTAATATGGAGCTGACAATACATTGTTTGAACTTGGATAGTGGTCATACTTGGCGGCCACACTTTGTTCCGTTTGACGAATCTCACATCGGCGGTTTCACATGCTGCGCTCACATCAACAATCCAAAAAGTTGTACCGTTTTGACCGTTCATCAACCAGCGAACACACATCATGAAAATAAGCATTGGCATGTGATTCACACGCTCTCCGGGATGTAAGTGACTCCTCACCTTGTGCAACGTAGGTATGTACCTTTCTTATTGTAAGCAAATATATCTTTCAAAGATTACGTTTTCGCGTTTGTCTGTAACTTACCAACTTAATCATTAGGTTATGATATAGTAAATAACTACGTACGTTTATTTGATTATTGATATCCCAAATTTCATGCCACAACTATCACAAGATAACAAGACAGGCTTCCAAAGAATCCATTCAAATCCACATGAAAAGGTCTTCGTCGGCACATCACAAAGGAACATCATAAAGCACCTGTCTAACCACCACTCGCCAGGTGCCTGCAGTAGCGTCATTAAAGCCGCGCCGGCCGTTTGCGTTTCCAGGAACACCACTCACTCCGCGAGTAGCCTGGCGCCGTCCTTAGTGTAATGGTCGGCATTCGGACGGTTCGTATAACACCGACGGCCGGCGGCCAAGTGTGGCGACTCACGCCATAGTGTCACGGCTCAGGGGCTGCCGGTCGGGGCAGTGGTCCATACCAAACCGAGCCAGTGGACGCGGGGAGGTCGGTACGGGCACACCGCTGCACTCCGGATCGGACACGGGAAGGACAACTCAGTCCGAACAGGTGAGTGAACGGGGGTGGGCACAGGGGTGAGTCAATATACAAGCTAAATAATAATGTGCAAAATGCGGAACCTAAAATTACCTCAAGTTATTTTACCCTCGCTGGATTCATCGGCTTTCCACATGTGCCCCGATTGAGCGGAGGGGGCGAAACTCCTCCCCGCCGTTTCGCCCATCATTGAGCTAGTGCATGGCGGAAAAAACGAGCCTGTCCGTTGTCACCTACTTAACAAAAACTGGCACCCAATGCTAAAGTCGCTGGCTATTGGTCAACCAGATACCTATGAGGTCAGGTTAAATGCACATGCTAGGAGTCGATTTTTTTTTTTTGTAAATTGATTCGCCATAAATGCTTGCGGAGTCGCGATTTAGGCAGCATCGTGTTTGTCATGCGCTGGTGCGTCGAATGGTGTACTTTTGTTTTGGAGGTCACCTGAGTGCTAACCCCAGGCTCGTTGCATAAATCTCCCTTATGCTTACTCACTGCCTATGTTACACTACCTTAGCGCTCGTTCCTGCAGCGCTCCGCTGAAGGTCGACGCGGCAGGGACCAGCCATGGCAGCCATGGCGCTGGAGAGTGTCGCCCAGGCGATCCAAGGCCTCGGCTCCACCCGGGTGAAGATCGACACGGGCGCCTTCTCGCTGCACTACCGGGCCACCACCACTGTGTTTGTCGGTGAGTTTAGCAGCGGAGAATGAGTGATTGGAAGGAAACCCCGCAAAAAAAAAAAACATAGCTGCACTCTTCGTGGGATATTTTCAGTGTAGATTAATAAAAAGGAGACATCGATAACTTTTTATGTTACAGTCAACATGTGACCTGGTACTCATTTGCCTGTCTATAATGATAGTTTTAATAGACGTTGCTAATCATAACGATAATAAGAAAAAGTCGCCATAAAAGACGGCTTGAAGGATGACTTGTGCTTGCTTCTTTGGATTCTCCACCCGAAACATATTCGTCCTATGGAATGTGTCGCAGTTGCGGTACTAAGTTGCACTCATGGATTGCTGTAACATCCATACATCTGCAGTTGTCACTAATTCACGATGACTCTGTCCTCACCATGGTTACCTGTTGCAACAGACGCCCGTGCTGCAATGACGTCAGAACGCTATGTGTCCCGTGTGGTGACGTCAGACTGGTATGTGTCGCCCTGTGGTGACGTCAGACTGGTAGTTATGTGTCCCGCTGCGGTGACGTCCGACTGTATGTGTCCCGCTGTGGTGACGTCAGACCGCTGTGTGTCCCACTATGGTGACGTCAGACTGGTATGTGTCCCACTATGGTGACGTCAGACTGGTATGTGTCCCGCTGTGGTGACGTCAGACCGTTATGTGTCGTGCTATGGTGACATCAGACCTGTATGTGTCGCGCTGTGGTGACGTCAGACCTGTATGTGTCCCGCTGTGGTGGCGTGTGTCCCGCTGTGGTGACGTCAGACTTGTATGTGTCCCGCTGTGGTGGCGTGTAACCCGCTGTAGTGACGTCAGACCGCTATATGTCCCGATGTGGTGACGTCAGACTGGTATGTGTCGCACTGTGGTGACGTCAGACTGGTATGTGTCGTCCCTGCAGCGTTCGGAGGCCTTCTGTACACCACTGGGCTGATGGTGGATCCCCTGCAGTGCCAGCCGGCCGCCGGCAGCGATGGCGCCTCGACGCCGGTCATCAACGCCTTCTGCTGGTCGGCCGGCACCTACAGCCTGAAGCCGACAGACGGTACGAGGCAGCGGGACTCCGCTATCGTCGGAAGTGGGTGGTGGGGGATGTGTTAGAGTTAGGGGGCTGAGAGTGGTTCAAGACAAAATGGAAACACAAAAAGTGTTCCATGTTCGTAAACAATCCAGACGCAGCAGCAGGGTGTTTATCTTTCCTAAGAAATCCATTAGGATAAATTTGAGCGATATAGATTATAGATTCGTCCGTCTCATTGATAACAAAAACGACAACAAAATCGCTGCTGAATCAGTCAATAGCTGTAGCGCAGTTATAGTTTGACAGTCTGAACGGTGCCATGCCACAGAAATAGAACATTGAGAGACTGAAGTGAAATTTAAACAAGTCTCAACGTTATAAGGTGGCGAAGTACTAGAGGGAACGTTTCCGAAATATATTCATTCATTTTAGGCTAATTTTGGATTGTTAAAAGATAGTGAGCATACGGTTATTCTTCTACGATATTCAAGTCTCAACGTTATTGCATTTGCCACATGTTTAATTCCACCCCACCACCCACAAAACGCACAATAGATCAGCTAATAACGCTCCTGTTGGCCCCTTCAGGCACCACTGAGGAGTCGGGCATTCCCCACGGCCGGCGTCACAGCTACTACTCGTGGGCGGCGCTGCTGCTCATCGTCCAGGGCCTGCTGTTCTACCTGCCGCACTGGATCTGGAACGCCCTGGAGGGACGCACCATCGCCTCCATCGTCCAGGACACCAGCAACCGGATGTTCGACCAGCAGACAGCCTCTGTGTCTGGCGAACGTCACTCAGTACTTCCGCAGGACCAGGGGACAACATCAGGCCTACTTGTCCTTCTACGTCGCCTGCGAGGCTCTCAACTTCGTCAACGTGATCAGCAGTTTGTTTCTGATGGACGCCTACCTCGGCGGGGGGTTTCTCGGTTACGGGGCTCGCGTTGTGAGTCACCGCTGGGTCGAGGACCAGCCCGGACCGATGGAAGAGCAGTTTCCCAAGATGACCGGGTGTCGGGTTACCCTGCCGGCTGCGGACGGGTCCGACGGCGCCACCACCGACACCATCTGCGTGCTGACGCTGAACGCCCTCTACGAGAAGGTCTACCTGCTGCTATGGTTCTGGCTGATCATCCTGTCCGTGATCAGCGGCTGCAGCCTGCTCTGGCGGCTGGTGACCATGCCGATCCCCCAGCTGCGTGTGGCGGCGCTCAGCCGCCGCGCGCCGCTCGCCCACCCTGACGACCTCCGTGACCTCTCCGACGCCCTGGGGCTCGGTGACCTCTTCGTCCTCAGCCTGGTCGCCGAGAACGTCGACTCTGGAGCGTTTCAGCGACTGGCCTATGAGCTGGCGACGACACTGACTGGCCGGCGTCCCGTCGGAGAGGAATCCGTCCGGCCGACCCCCATCAGCGACGGACCGTGCGCCTTCAAACGACCCGACTCCTCGAGCGGGGTGTTCAAACGGCCAGACTCGACAGTGACCCCGGCCAAATGACATCTGCAGCTAACAGTGGTGGTACGCTGAAAGGCGACTGTCTGCCACTGGAGGGGAGGGGGATGAGTGAGAGAGGGAAGGCGGCTGGGCGTCCACCGATGATCGATACCTTATACAAAGGAGTTCACTAAATGTACAATGAAAGAGATACTTACTGGGAGACATTGGATGCATGCGTACAATTTTACAGAATTTCTAGTCATTCTGAATCTGTAGAGTGCCTCCTAACTCGGTCAGGTCGGCATTCTACATACAGAATACCTGAATGCCTGATTCCACACATTGCCTGTAACTTATTTGTAGGCATAATATTCTGCATTACAATATCTGCACATCGAATGACTGAGAAAGCAGGTTGAAGCATAGGAACAGCTAATGTCATTGAAGCACATCACCGGAATCATTTATCTGATTCATTAGCGATTACATTGAGTGTTCAATATCGCATTAATTGAATACGTGAGAAGGAACTATTGCAGTTGTATGTATGACTGTTCTATGTGGGTACTTGAGACTGTGCAATATGTGATATGTGCAAATGATGGACCTATTGGTCCAATCACTCGCGTATTTAGTCGCACGCTACATGTATGTAATATGCCTTTAATGGTCATAGATGTATCAGCTTTCACGTTGTCAGCATTGTAAGAATCATGCGAATCTAGGAAATGTTATTGAAGTTCATTTATTTATTATTTGCACGCATGCTTGACTCCTCAACACACGACCTTTTAGTGATACAAACGTTGAGGCTATTCTACCTACTTACGTAAGCAATTGTTCTGGTATGAGTTTTTTAATACAATTTATTTGAAACATGTGGCTCGATAAATAATAAACATAACTCAACTAACTATGTAACCGTTTGCGAAGTTTGTATCATTGTGCAACATGTATTATTTTACCTCATTTGAACTTGAAGATATTGACCAGTGTCGTGAAATTAACGCTCATCCCTCGCCCCGTAAGGGGGGGGGGCAATATGCCCCCTGTGGTTTTCCTAGATAGCAAGAAAACAGCGGCGCACAGCGCCGCCAAATTTTCGGTACCTTCCCGAGCATCAATTTGACACCTTCACACAAAATTTCAAGTCTTTGGTCACCTTAGGTCAGGAGTTATTTAGTCAAAGTGAGGTAATGTTCGAGCAAAATGAGCAAAAAACATGAAATCTTGAAATGCTCACAAAAGCTACAGTTAACAAGCAATTTCAAAGTTCGTTATGTTGCTTGAGTAGAGAAAAGACGGCGCTACAAAACTGCTATCTCGGACTTTCAAAAGTTTGTGATTGACACAAAAAAAAAATATTAAAAAAATATCGAAAGTTTTTCGAATTTCGAAAAAACGGAATATGTGTGATAGTCCCTGCGCTCTTCTATCTACATATCAAATCTAAGATTGATATTTCCTTTTTGGCCAAGTTATAGCGAAAAAAACTGTTCAAAATTAATGACGTCAATTTTTTAACTCAATTTTTAGCGATTCTACACCACGTTGCGCAAAACCAAGAGCATCATTAGACTCCCCGTGACGAGCTGCATCGAATTTATGCAAAACCCATTTTATGCAAAAATATCAAGTTTGAAATTTGATCTAATTTAACCTGACCTTGACCTAAACTTCACCAGAACATAACCTCAAGTGGCCCCAAAAGCTGCCTGGCCCAAATAATCGCATTTGACATGTAAAATGGACCATAAAACATGTATCACAAGACATTTTCATATTGTGACCCTCCAGTGACCTGACCTCTGTGACCTGACCTGGTATTAGTGAGTGACCTCAACTAGCAAAATATTTGTTTGACGAACAATTCCCCATCGATGATTTTCAATGAAATGCATTTTACTCGATTTTACAACACATTTCTTGAAATGCCTGTAAACGGTGAAAATTCGACAGTATAGACCTGACCTGTGACGGCATCGGTTTGACAGAGGTCAATGAAATTGGGTCACAATATTAACTTTTTTGAAGGTGGAAGGGTCCCTTTAACACCTTCCACCAGCTTGTCGTCACAACACGGTCTGGCTCTCGAAACCGACGATGACGGCGATCAGCCACCGCGCGCATGCGCACTGGCGCCGGCCGTAGCAGAAGCCGTCGGCGCCGACGATCGGCACGCCGCGGGCAACAGAGAACGGCCGCACCGCCAGTAGACGCTCATAACACGCGTCGAACGTCGGTGGGGACGCGGGACCAGCCGACGATCATGGACGTAGTAACACCGACGGCGCGGCGGTCCCATGGCAACAATGAGTAACACAGCTTAGTTTGAAGTGGACTGTAGCAATTTCTGATCGGGTCATGAAGTGGAGGACGGCTAGGTTATTAATTAGTTTCCAGGTAGGGTGTCTGTACCGAAACAATTTAACTCTGGCACAGATAACAGTAGTACTGTTAACAGTAGTACTACTGTTATTTGTGACTCTGGGTATCCAACGGAACGAGAAATGTCGTGTATAAATGCCAGCTGAGGTGATGTATGAATGTCAGTGTCAGTGAATGTGTCAGTGACCAGTGTCACTTCAGTGTCAGTAGATACCTCGGTGTCACGTCAGTTGATGTCAGTCGAGGTGTCAGCATCCGTAGCATGTCACTCCACCTGTCAGCGTTGTCCTCTGATGTGCCTATGGTCCCCGTCAGTCAGCGTCAGCGTCAGCGTCAGTGTCAATGTCAACCTACCATTTCAATGTCACTCTCTAAAATGTCAATTAATGTGTGCGGGTCGTGTCAGTCGATGTGACAGTCAAACCATGAAACCCCGTTTTAGACATGCAGTTTGAAACACAACATATTAGCACCAAAAACTACATATATTGTGGAGAAGCCTGCTTTTATGGAGTATCTATACCTAAAAAGAACATTTGTAAAAGGATATCAAAGAGGTCGGTACAATGTTTACCTTTCCTTTTCATGATCCCAGCGCAGATCGATTTCCGACTCCCCCGCCCCGTCCGCTCCATTCAGAACGAAATCGATCGCCGTTCCCACGCTCTTTGTTCCCTGTATTACCCCTGGGGTGCAGGGACAGCTGCCGGCACGTGCAGCGCTCCCCCTCCCCCCGTCTCCCCCACAGCCCACCGCTGGGGGAGGGGTCATCGAGCAAGGGAGGCGCGGGGCGGGGACTGAGGTCAGGGTAAGTTTGGAGGTTCTGCCCCGAGAAGGAATGCCGGTAGCCGGCAGTTTCGAGTTTGTAGGTCGCCAGTACGCGTCATCCGTCGGAATGTGGCACACACGAAATAATAAATGTTTTATAGGTACTGCTAGTGGTGTTAGCTTTGAACTTTGCAGGCTGCAGCACCGCCTTAGGACGTGCTGAATCCAGGTGAATTATATAGTAGGCATTTGGGACGTAAATACTGGCAACGGACTAAGTGAATAATGGTGTGAGGCGTCAGCTTTGGTGGTTGGGTTCTACTTTCAAAATATTTCGCTTTCCTACTGACTCTATGGCTTTCCAAACGCTTTCCTACTGGTTGGCCAACATGACCAAAATGACGAAGTGACCTTCAGTCCCAAGCGCAGGAATAAGTAATTTTCCAGTTGTGCGTGAATTTAGCCCACGAGTGAGAGAGCGCAGTGAGCGAGCCGGTTTATCTGCGATTAGTGTTCGTCCCGGCCTGGCCCGGTAATGCTCTACATACTTCGCCGAAATCGGCAAAACGCAAAAACCGACCGCTAATGTAGCCCGAGCTTTAGCGTTCTATCTCGGCAAGCACTTCAACTTTGCGACGGTCTGCTGCAAGGCCCTAAAACATAAGGTTGGACGAAGTTTTCTACCAAAAATGTACTAGAATAGCGTACGAGTCAAAGCTATTTCCGTTGTTTCTTTACAAAAATGTCGCAAACAAGCTTTTTCTGTAATAAATCATTATTTTGAAGTTAAGCAACCAGTTGCCATAAATTCAATAAGCAAACACTTATTTTCTATATAAAAGCCTAGCTTATATAGTCCAACTCTAGTTGAATAATCAAGTAGCTACTAAATTTTCCAGATGCGACACATATTGCGCACTTCAGACAAGTACGTTGCTAAGGCGTTGCTAAGGACTCTTTCGCATGTTTTGCTGCGTGTTTTTTGTTACGAAGTGAGGGAAGTGAGATTGACAAGCTTATTGATATTTTTTTCTGGTTTTCTAGGGCCGTCGCAATTATTTAACTTGACATACTTTTCTTGCTTTTTTATCCGAGGCTTTTTCAATAATTGGTAGATTCTATCGTGGAAATAAAAGGGCCAGCAGGCCACATGGGTAAATGCAAGTCGACTGATTGTGAAATAAAAGGTAGAAGTGTCTGTTCCATTAGAAATTTGATGTGATGGAAGATGAAGCAACAGGATCAGACGCAAGAACCACCAATTAAGAACCCAGAACCAGCAAGCGCTATGCCATCAAGAGCATCCATGGTAACGTTTGATTAGCTTTCAGAAAACCTTTGAACTAGACGCCAGACGGTGAGCAATTACAAGACCATTTGTTACTTGAAAACGAGAGCCGCCAGGAAAATCAGTAGATTCTTCAATGGCAACACATTTCAGTATCTATCTAGCAATGATTTGCACCAGCGAGGTGCTATCATTGTGTTTTGTGTCTGTATCCCTAACTGCTCAAAAAATATGTCAATAAATAAACAAGCAAATAATGCGTCTTTTTCTACTGAAAGTAAGTCCTCCAAGTGGCAAGGGATGAATAATAGAAGGTACCTAATTTATTGCCATCTATTCATTCAATTCATAAATCATGGCAATTCAGGGCATCGATCGGCAGCGCCCTTACTGCATGGCACTGCGGATCGTCCATGGGTTTCTTGATGACTCCGACTCTGACTCAGACTTTAAAAAATCAACTATGACTTTGATTTCAAATATCGGCTCTGACCGACTCCGACTCCACAGCCCTAGCAGGTCTGCGGAGGCAATAGATTTTTGGTGACTCCGACTCCGACTCTGGCTTTCAAAATCGACTCTGACTCTGACTCTGGTCAGAACTGTCGATTCGGACCGACTACAACTCCGACTACGGAACCCTGATAGGTAGGGGATCGAATTTCGGTGACTGACTCAGACTCCTGCTTTTAAAATCGACTCTGACTCCGACTCGACGACTCAGGTCAGAACTGTCAACTCCGACCGACTTCATGACTCCGACTCCGGAGCCCTACTGGCAGCTATCACGCCAGGGAGCTGCAAATCATATGTTCCCTGTTGGTTTATGGCATTAAAGTCGATAATGCGGCTGAATCGCACTATGAAACACCCTTATTGGCTGCAAGAACCACGAAAGTTAGCGCATCACCACTGGAAAACGTGACAAGATATCGATTAATTGGCCCTGGATTTGGATAAATAACATGTAGATGATCATATTAGGACACATTTACATTATCAGCTATCTCAAGTTTGCCCTCCAGGCGGCTCTAAACTATGGCAATTTCCCTATCTTCAACATGTAAATGCCCTCGGGCGTCCTCGTGGTGACGTAGGCATGGGAGTGCCAGTTTGGTAGGAACTAGACTTCGACGCCCCCTGGTCTGCTGCATCACATAGTCACATTCCTTCAAACAAGAGCGGAACATACTTTTGTCGCATGTGGGTGATCGTTCCGAGACCTGCCACGCGCCAAGTCGAGACGGGTCAAAATTTGTCTGCTGATATCTCTTCAATGACTGCTGGCAACCGATGACTGCTTCAACCGATTGTGTCGAAACGTGGCCTTTTTGTTGGGCAGCTACCAGGTAATACATTTTCAGATTTTATGTTACGCTTGCGTTTTTTTTTCAAACATTGTTTACACATTTTTTAAAAAAAGAGATAGATTTCCAGCCTATGTTTTCTGTGAATAATTTCGAAAAAAC